TAGTGGCTTGCATGTTGTTGTAATTCTGGAAGCTGTGCCACTGGTATTTTAAATACCAGCAGGGTCACCCATGGTGGCAGGTTTCAGATGAGCTTTCAGAGGAAGACTAGAAAAAAGAGGAGGCATACTACTTCTGAATGTTTACCTACCAAAACCTTATGAATACTCTCAGAACATTGTGGAATATAAAACCAGAAGATGAAACATAAGGACTAGCAGCAGAGCATTGTTAGATACGGTACTGGATGATGAGCCCCTCAGATTGGAAGTCACGAAAAGTATGATTGGGGAAGAGTTGAATCCTCAAAATAGAGTTGGCCATAATGAAGTGAATGGAGTAAAAGTTTTAGGATCTTCATTTGCTGATAGGGCAAAATTCAAAATGAGAACACCTGAAAACATTCAGCAATAAATGGGACATAAAATGTATGACCTATGATCCTAGGAATATTGGAAATTGTCAAAATGAAATGGAGTGCCTAAAGATGAGTATTTTAGGCGTTAGTAAGCTAAAATGCCTGAAAGCTGCTCTTGGCCATTGAATGAAATAGTCATGTGGTTTACTATGGCTGAAATAGCCAATTTAAAAGGTGTTGCAGTCACTGTCAAAAAGAACATTTCAGGTATATCTAGAAATGCAAGGATAATATATATACATCTATAGGCAATAATACATACATTACATACATAATCTACATATATTACAATACACACTAATACCACTATTTTTCAAATTTACAAAATTGAGGTTATGAAATTGACGATTTCTGCCAACTTCTTTAGTCTGAAACTGATAAAATATGCAATCAAGTTGCATTGACAATTGCTGGTTATTGGATACAGAGGTTGGAAACAAAGAGGAAAAATCAGTAGTTTGAAAATATGGCCTTGGTGATAGAAATGATGCTGGAGATTACATGAGAATTTGGAAGACCAGTGTCATCTTCATTGCAAACACCTTTTTAAAATAACATGAAACATACACATGGACCTTACCACAGTGAATGCACAGTAATTAAATTGACTACATCTGTTGGATGAGACCATGGCAAAGTTCAATATTATGAGCCTAGGTAAGGCCAGGAATTGACTGTGGAACAGACCATCAATTGGTCATAATGAGTTTAGGCTGAAGCTGAGGAGAGTTAAAATAAGTCCATGAGAGACAAAATATGACTTTGAAAGTCTCCCATCTGAATTTAGAGATAATCTTAAGAAAATATTTGATGCATTAGAAACTACTTACTGGCCAAAGACCAGAAGAGTTGTGAGATGACATCAAGATGTGATACAAGAAGAAAGCAAAAGGTACTTAC